CCAGCATAGAACTGGGAAAATGAACAGCAGACCCCAGTCTTATCTAAAGGAATATTGACAACTGATTGCTGCTAGATGAGGAACAGCTGACCCTCCTAAAACAAAGACTTCTAGATAGGCTGAATAGATTCACCAGAAGGGCAAGTAGTAGGGAAGGGCTGGGGGTGCCGACAACACAGCAGACAGTAGCAGGGATATCAGAGTATAAGGGCTCTAGAAGGGGAGGGAGCCTATGGGAGGGTGTCATGTGGGAAGTGGTGTATAGTTGAATAAGATTGTTTGGGATGGTTTGTGTGATACACACACACACACACACACACACACAATCAACAAATTTTAAAAAATGTATTATATTTGAGGAGGAAGCATGGAAATTTGTCATGTTGATTAGTAGAGGATAAACATTACCATTGAAATCTACCTGATGACTTTCTAGACATACACAGGCGCCAAGGATCCAAGTGCAACCGATTATGACTAGTAATAATCAGATACATAGAGACTGGAGATGTATGCTCCAACATCTCAGTATTAGTAACAAAAACAATGAGTCTTTCTGCAAGGAACAATATATTCTAAAATGAAATGGAGACCTTTTTTAAAGGTTAAAAACTCATTCAATTTTATGTCTTACAGGGTTTATACTGAGTTCAATATTGTATAGCTGTATTAATCCAACTAAACTTACAGCCACTTGTGAAAGAGATGTACTCTTGCTCTGGTGTGTATTACTGAATATGTGAAAGCTGTAACGAAATGCTTCTTCTAATCATGTAGTTATTAAAAATTAAAAAAAAATTTACTTCATGTTAAATAGTAGAGGTGATAAACATTACCAGTGAAATCTACCTGATGACTATACTCAGGTACTAAGGATCCAAGTATAACCAATTGTGACTAATAATTTTATAATCAGATATACAGAGATTAAAGACACATGTGCAAACATGTGAGTGTTAGGAGCATTAAAAATGTAGGAAACGGCGTATCTTAAAATGAAATGGAGATCTTCTTTCAAGGGTAAAAACTCATTCAATTTTATGTCTTACAGGGTTTGTACTGAGTTCAATATTGTATGACTGCAATTCAATTGTGAATCTAAAAATTTATAGCCACCTTTGAAAGAGATGTATCCTTGCTCTGGAATGTGTTACTGAATATGTTAAAGCTGTAATGAAATGCTTCTTCTAATCATGTAGTTATTAAATTTTAAAAAATTTAAAAAATTTTAAAAAAAGCAAAAATCTACATATGCTGCTACTCTGAAAGATGAAGAAGGATAAGGAGTTCGAGGTCAGCCTTGGATACACAATGAATTCAAGGCCAGCCTAGGCTATGTGACACACTGATTGAAAAAAACAAACAAAACAATTTTTCTTTTTCTCCTGCTGACAAGGAGATGACAGCTCTGACAGAATGCCACGCTCAGTGATGTTGCATCCCTTTATGGTTGCCATGACAAAGAAATTTGATACAAAGCCCCAGGCAGCTCTGAAAAGAATGGAAAATACCTAAGCTATCTCAAGGGTGTCAAATTCTCAAATGGTCCAAGAGAGGTATCCTCAAGATTCAGAGAACCAAGACTTTTAATCAGTTTTCAGCATTTTGTGCAGAATAAATGCCTTCTTCCACAACTGGCAACAACTGGCTAGCTTTTGAGACCCTAAGATCCTGGCAGACCCTGTCATGATGCAGTACTGTTAGACCTCTAGAAAACTGTGCACTGATTTGCGTGTGCACCCTACCAATACATGGGAAATCACTCATCTGTAACACCTGGACTGGCTTTAGTCTCCATGGCTGCTGTGAGCAGCCGTTCATTTCTCGAGGAGAAATGACCACTAGGAGATGTTGCTTCCTTCTCTGTTGTTGAGCCTGCCAATACGGGTGGCACGCGAGGTTACTATGCCTTACTCCTCCCAGAGGTGTCAAGAGTAGGAGTGGAGAAATCTGCCCACTCCCCACTGATGGTGCATGCGGGGGGCTCTGCAGAGCATCACTCAGTCTGCTGAGCTGTGTTAGTTCCAAGCTGATTGACACCTACCAGTAATGTGAAGCTGTGCTCCGGCAATATGCCATACTTCTGGATGAGTCTCTCTCTGGTTGTACTGGGAAGCTCGGGGAGCATGTCCCGAATCTGGTCAATGTTGACCACTTGCTGAATGTCGGCATGTGCAGGCAGAGACGTGGAGTTATAGAGTACCAGAGGAGGCAGGTTGGGCTCCGGCATAAACCTATGAGAACAGATGGGACCTGACTCTGAGTATCCGGATTAATTATGACCACAAATCTAACTATGATAGAATGATTCTGTGCTTAGGTGCCACACCACAGTATTTGCAATGCTTCCAGATGTCCCAGAGCCTAGGACAGTGTCCAGCAAACCCACCCTTCTTCACACAGAGGAATGATAGGAGAAGGAATACCACGGGTCTGGGCTACACTCTCATTTACGCTGGCGAGGACAAAAACAGAGGGACCGGGGCCACAGCTCCAGCAAGAACATTTCGCCAATAGGGAAGAAGGATGACTCCCCTATTTTAAACTATTTTTAGCATACCTGTATAATAATGAGAAGTCAAAGGGGATGAGCGAAGTAGAATAACTGAATGAATTTGCCTAAATAAAATATAGAAGCTAGCGGGCGTGAAGTGGTGGAGCTCGGGACACCGTCAGGACAGTACAACTATCACATGTAATACTGTAATGGTGGCTACATTCCACCACACATATGCCAGAACCTAGAGAACTCGCAACAGCGAGTGCATGAATTCTAGTGTTTACTATGGAGTTCTGAGAATACCAAGCAGCAATACTGGTTTATCACTGTCACAGGCCACATAATGCAAGAGGTTAATAACAGGAGACAGTATTGAGGCCAGGAAGAGGTACATGAGAACTCTCTACTTCCCGCCCAAAGCCGCTCTAAAAAAAGGTCAGTTTTAAAAAATATGCAGGCTACGCCACTATACAGAATCTGAGGAAACAAAAATATCCCTTTCTTTGTTCTATTCCAGGACTAATGCTTTCTCTGCCTCTACGTGCCAAAGGGCTTATGTAAAAGCAGGGTAATACTAAACACATGGAAGGCACTAGAGCCAAGTGCAAGCGACTCCACAATGCAGTGCTGATCTCTAGTATGAATCAGGATGACCCCTGAAAGTGAGAAGAAATCCAAAGAGAGACGTCCTGAGACCCACTGCCATTTAACTTGAGGAATTCAGCAGAAGCTGTTGGCTGAGGTAAAAGCAACTCCACGCTCAAGAATGCAGTGTTGGGGTGGCAACACGGAAGACTAAAGATTCTTAGGAAAAAGCCTGAACCTAGATCACAGTAATGAAAATCCTTGCCTTTGACAGGGCAAGAGGAGAGTATGGGATGAAGGTACCCTGCATGTCACAAAGAACAACTACACTAATTGTAACAACTTTATTTCCTAAAACTTCCATCTTCATAATCTGCTAAACTCTATGTAGGTAAGTCACGGGTTTGATTTATCTTAAGCCTATCCTTATGGTTTCATTTGCAGGCCTTCTGTAAAGTACCTCTCTTTCATTCTCCTTAGTATAAGAATAGAACCGGGGACCTCTGACATGATGGGCCCACTGAACTACCTCCCCCCAACTTGTTAGCTGGTCAATAAAAGAGCACCACCTGAGTTCTGAAGCGACCATCCACTGACAGACCCATCTCTTTTTTCGTTTGTTCCCAAGGACACTGGATGTACTATAGAATTTACTGCTAATGTGAGCCTAGGCTAAACTTACTATCTTAGCTGGGCCATAGCATCCTTAATACAGAAGTCATTGAACAGGTATCTTCTAGCAGTTGATCCTATTAAACCAGGGACTCTGCAGCTACCAAGTCAGGAAAATAACACTTTTCTCAGTACATACAAAATAAAGTAGGAAGTCTTGATTTCTATCATGTAACAACAAGTGGCTCCTAAAAATTCTCCAGAATCATTATGCTGATTTCCAAATGGATTTGAAATATATCCCCATATATAACGGGACCTGACGTGAAGAGTAATCACCTGTAGTCCTGTTTTCCTTCTTTGTCCCTCATTGGCACGGTGCACCTACAATAGTTAAGACAGACAATAGTAAGCAAACACTGCATGCAGCATTCGCTAGACTACATGTAGACAGGGAGCTGCTATGTGTTAAAAGCTTGGTCCTCAGCTTGGTCCTGTTTAGAAGTGGTAAAAACCTGAAGTGATGAGGCCTAATGGGAGGTCTTCACATCACTGGAGTTTGTCCTGGAAAGGGGCTGTGGAACCATGGTCCCTCTCTCTGTTTCCTAGCTCTGTTACTTGCTTCACCACTCTTACCAAATGCGTGGCAGAGAGAAGAGGGAAAATATACATTTTCTTAAGCTTATGGCTTCAGAGGTGCCTGTCCATCAGAGTGGGAGGGCATGGTAGAGCCCAACAGCTGTCATCATGGCAGCATAAAAACAAGGAAAAGAGAATACAGGAGAGGACAGAGCAAGGTATATTCCAAAGGACATTCTCCCAGTGACACTCTTCCTCCAACTAGGCCCCACCTCCTAATACTGCCATTGTATTATGACTTTAGACATGGATTAATCCATTCACTAAACCAGAATCCTCATGTTCTAATGGTTTCTGGAAACACTATCAGACTCACAAGAGGTGTGCTTCACTAATCCAATCAAGCTGACGATCAAGATTAACCTCATATTGGCAATGAGGTAAATAGTTTTGCTTAGCCATGTATTCTAACCAAGATGTGCCACTATAGGCCCAACCCATCATCGAGTGAAACCCCTAAAACTATTTGCCAAAACAAGCCTTTTCTCTTTATAAGTTGAATATCTCAGATATTTGTTACTGTGTAGCATAGGGTTTTCTCAACCAGTAACAGACATAGCCAAATTCAAGCTCTTCAAACTTCCATAGGGCATACACATATGAATACACTAAAACATAATAAATGAAAGAGCAATGTCTAGAAAGATAATTTTTTAAAAAAAGAAATTATTTCAGTGGCGTGCGAGTGCGTGTGTGTGTGTGTGTGTGTGTGTGTGTGTGTG